TTTTCGATGCACGCACGACACGAGAATCCAATGTTCGGGCACTCGCTGAAAAACACCTCAAGAAAAGGAAATAGTGGAACGCAAAAAACACTCCTACACGGTCGAATCCAGATACCAACTAAATTGCGAATTGGTGGTTGCTGGACACCTTAATACCTCGTGTTAATAAACCGCCGCCAGCCGTTGTCACATTGCTTGATATAAATTTTATCGAATTTTAAATTTATTACAACGCTAATTATTTTTTAGAATTAAGCATAGAGAAGTTCAAAAAAAGTGATAAACATTGTATTTTATGCACACAGTTATGTAAATATTCCTTAATTAATCGAACTTTTGTACAAGTTGGAGATTTTGATAATTTTTTTCTCGGAAATGGTTTAGGACCCTTGTCATATAAGGTTTATTGTTTATTTTAATGAATTCTATCGTCTGTTAATATTAAGGCAGTCAAACTTCTAGCACCCTGTATACTTTTCTTATGGCACATAAATCGCTTGTCGAAGGAAAAATCTTAGATCATATTCGAGTTCCCTACACTGAAAGAAATGGGCTTATTAAACTGTTTATCTAGAATAATGTGTATAGCGCATATTAAAACTTTTATAACCAATATACAACTTTTATTAAAAAAAAATCAATCATCTCCAAACTCCTTATTCAATGAATTTAACTGGAAGGTGCTTAATACACCTTATGCATCTATGAAATAAAGGTTATAATGAATTACTTATACATTATTAGGTGTTATAGACTTTATATTCCAGTTGTATAGTAGGGAAGATTTGTTGTATAAAGACCAGTATCCGAATTTGTATATAACAATTGTATTAACAGAATTATTCGTTCTTATACTGAATATGTTTCCGTTTTTAACGTGTAAAACGCGTCTTATAATGGTTAAGTGATCGTCACCTCTCGGTGCATAATCGGTTATGATCGTTGTTAAGTTATATTCATAGTCTTGTAATAATAATCATATGTCAGACCCGAGAGCGAAGTGCGCCGACTCAATAAGAAACCTGGCTATTCCAGCCGCTGATTTAGGGTTCGCCGCACGAGCTCATCCCTTCTAAGATTTCAGTAGCATGCTATGCATGAAGCAGAACGGTACTCAACTATCTTATACAGTCCACTTTTATTGTCCATACATGTTCAATCATTGTCAAAATAAACACACAAAACCACAACGTCTTTATTATCTTTACTCAAGAAGAGAAAATACAACAATCGTAAAATTTCCGACAGTCCGCTGTGCATCGACTTACACACGTCTAGTTTGATGAAAATGGACAGTATATGCACATGTTTTGTGGGATACATGATCATATCGCGTTGTGTGAAATGGAAAATTATTATGTAAGTATCTAACTGTTTTATGGCTTGTAATTGTTTTGTTTTTTCAAATGTAAATCTTGTCTAAATCTTAAAAATTATTATTTTGTAGGTCCTATTAGAAATCGCTGATGTTAAGTTTTACATAAGATGGAGGAACAGAAGGTTAACGGTGACAAAGAAGAGCATGGGTATAAAGTCAATCAACCAGAGGAAATAAAATTATATGGAAAGAAGCTCAACCTTTCTGGGGATGCTTCATTCTTAAGGTGGAAGAGTTATAGTGCAAATTCTCATGTAATACAAGAAAATACGGGTGCATCGTTGCTAAGAAAATAAACTGGACAGTTTTGGGAGCGATTTGTCATCATTTTTAATGCTTAAAAGTATGTTTTATGTATGTTTACATTAGAACCTTAGCTTGTAATTACAGTTATCCAATAAAATTTCTGAAAACTTAATGACATATGTTTTTAACTCATACAGAGTATACAACAGTTTAATACATTTATTATTATAAAATTTATAACCAGTACTAGATGTTCTAATAACGATATGAAACACTTTAATAACAGTTATTGCTATTATTTCGTAAAGGGTATAAAAAACGTTGTATACTAGTTATACTTACAATAATTTAATAGAGAATAAGGTTTATAGTCACTATACAACTGTGCTAACAGTACGCGTTTTATATCCAATATTCACCTGTTTAACTGTCACATATAGTATACAATGGTCTTATAATGGTATATAGAATTCTAATAAGCAATAAAACGCATTTCTTTCAGTGTACACTCAATTTATTAAGGTTGATATCCCCACGGAGTACATACTTACTTAGTCGTATAATTTATGTCGTAGCATTGTTCCAGTTCTTTTTTTTAACTTATTTGCCGAATTCCAGAATGTTCAACAGAATGTAAAGAAAAATTAACGGTACTATCATTTTTAGTAGGCCCAAATGCGTAATTGTTTTTTTTTCTAAGGTAAACAAATTGCAAAAATTGATTTTTTCACTCCGGAAAAATGTTAGGTTTTTTGGCACATTATAAACAAAAAAGTTCCTATGCACTATGCCTCTAAAATTGATAATTTTGAAGTTATAAACAATTTAAGTTGCTAAAAATGCGAAAATGACGATTTTCGATGGCCGATTTCCGGGTTAAAAATTGTCATTTTTGATGTTGCCAGGTACCTAAATTAAAGTTTAAACATTCCCCTACAAGATTCTGAAGAGTTTTTGGGACTCGCCTTATTCTAAAGCCTTGGTCTTTTAATTGTGAATAATGCACTATGAGCCGCGCGCACGTCTCTAATACGTAAATTTATTACCAAAGATCTATTACCCAAAGACTTAGTTAAACAATGTAAATGTACAAAAAACTGTAAGACTAAAGCTTGTTCTTGTAGGAAAAACTATTTCACTTGTGTACCTTTATGTGGTTGTAACATAGAACAGTGTGAGAATTCTTATGATTATAATTATAATATGCAGTATTAAATAAATGTTAATAAAAATCAAATGTATTTGATACTATTGCCCTTTTATTTTGTTTTCTGCACTCTATTCGTACAATTTTGAATTAATTAAATAAAATTGTTATGAATTATGAAATTTAAATAATCAATTTTTACATTATTTTATGAGTAGTAATAGTAGGTACTTAGAATGCTAAATGACATAGTTTTTCCTGCAAGAACAACCTTTAGTCTCACAGTTTTTTGTACATTTACATTGTTTAACTAAGTCTTTGGGTAATGGATGTTTGGTAATAAATAATTCACCTGTTTCATTTTGTTAACCAAAAGCCGTGAAATCCAAATATTCATATTGAGGAAAAATGTAACTTGTCCATACGTACGTTTGTAAAGAAGCTCTTAAGACGTGTAGCTTTAATGCATCGGAAATGCATGGTATTTAACTTAAATTAATACCCATTCCGCTACAATGAGAGAAAATTAATTTTCTAGCTTCATCGACTGTTTTGCCTTGCTTATTTAATATTTTTAGGTATAATCTTTGCAATGCATTAAACTCTTCGTTGCTTAGTTCAGACATAAAACATAAGCTGAATCCGTTAGACGAAATAGCGAATCCGCGTATGAGTATAGCGCTTTATTAACAATTAAAAAACAAGGCTTTAGAATAACGCGAATCCCAAAAACTCTTCAACGTCTTGTAGGGGGATGTTTAAACTTTAATTGAGGTACCTGGCAACATCAAAAATGACAATTTTTAACCCGGAAATCGGCCGTTGAAAATCGTCATTTTCGCATTTTTAGCAACTTAAATTGTTTATAACTTTAAAACTATCAATTTTAGAAGCATAGTGCATAGGGACTTTTTTGTTTACAATGTGCCAAATGGAGTGAAAAAAAAACAATTTTTACAATTTGTTTAAAAAAAGTTTGTTTAAACAAATGGGCACCAGATTTCCAGCTGGCATCATCTTGATTCATGTTAAGGAACATCTCACGAATCTGAATACAAAAAAATCGACTCGGAAAATTTCTCCCACGAATGCGAGGTTTTCGCTCTGTCTAATTATCAGGTAACAGAAATGGATGAGGGCCATTTACATATTCTACATTGGCAGGAAAATTTTCGATTTGTGTCAATATACAGGGTGTTTCATATAACTCTGAGAAGATCTTAAAATATGCCGATTTGTTATGTATTTTTTTTGGAATGTACCACTGAAGAAATATTGGCCTTTGAAGATGAGTGTTACATTTTGAAAAAAGATAATATTTCAGCAATGCCTTAACATAGAGCAACCAAATTTGGTACATGATTTGCGTTTATTGTTATCTTTAATTGGTAAAAATATGAATTTGTTGGAAGCCCAATAGGTCGGACTAGGGCGCACTATCAATTTTTTTATCAGTATGCCAATTATTAAATAGTTTCATCTGTATTACAGAAAATTTAATTTAAAAAATTCCTTTACCCTTACAAATGTTTACGTACGAAGCTGCACTAACCCTAGTTGTGAACCACCCTGTGGGTTTAAATATTTTAACATTCTTTAAAGAATTTAAAACAATTACTTTTAAAAACAATTTAATTAACTATTACAATACCATTTTCATATTTGTTACGGTACCTACTAAAATACCTGCTAATTAGGTACCTATGTTTTTAATTCTTCATTAACATTCCGATTTATTAATGTCAATCATAATTCGACTTCAACTATTTAAACTGGTTGTCACAAGATCAGATAACCCTAAAGTATTTAAATTATTTTAAAAAGATAATTTTACAATGATATTATCTTGTTTCACATACTTCATAAATATTTAAATAGGTTTCTTGACAACATATGTCAATATTTGTTGTATATTAAAAATAACTGGTCATTAAGTTTTGTTCTTCTAAGTATTCCGACAAGGTCAACTAATAATGACAAAAAACTGAAACTGATTTTATTATTTGGATGTAACTGATTGATTTGCCATGAACTATATTCATTTTATTTAATAAGAATTAATTTTTAATAAATAAACTGAATATATGCAATCATCAATACAAAATGATGAAGTTGTCACAAAAATTATATTTGAAATTTAGATATTCATTACAGTAATTAAATTAAAGCAAACACGTGTTTCAATGTCACACTACATCGCAATTTTAAATGCAAATAAGACAGCTTACAGGTTTGAATAATATTTTTATTAGTATTTTAACAAGTATAAAAGAGGTGATGAGAAAAAGATAGTCATTGAATTGGAACTCATGATTTGTTTGCTGCTGACAACGGAATATCACAGATATAATTATGTAAAATAAAAAGCAGAAAGCGACGAACGATAGAGTTTAGCAAACAAACACGCTACCAAAACAATAAATGCAGTTGCATCATCTGCATCTCAACCACGTTCAATACGTTTCATGACTTTAAGGCTAGCTTGTAACGAGGCGGAAGAATGAAGATTCCTAATGATGATAGTCTCCTCCAAAGGAAGAGAATCCACCAGAACTGAATCCATGTCCTCCAAAACCACCTCCAAGTCCACCACCAAGACCACCTCCTAGACCTTCATCATGACCGGTATGGACGATGACAGGCACTGGTTTCTTCACGATGTTGATTTCTGGAATATGTACTGGCACTGGCTTATGCACTGGGACTGGGTATGGTTTTGGGATGTGGACTGGTACCTTAACTGGGTATGGCACCTTGTATGGTACCTTAACTGGCACTGGGTAGCTCTTGAGTACCTTCACTGGGTAAGGTTTGTCGACTGGGACGGGGTATGGTTTTGCTACATGAACAGGGTATGGCTTATCGACCTTAACAGCGACTGCGTATTTCACTGGGTAGGGAACCTTCTTCTCTATATGTACTGGATAGGGGTGGGGAACGGGTACTGGGATTTGTTTTGTGAGGGTGATGTGGCTGACGTGTCCGTGGCTTTCCAAGCCCCCACCTAAGCCTCCACCGAAGCCTCCTCCAATACCGCCTAAGTCGCCGCCAAGAGAGAGTCCCCCGTGTTCACCGAATCCTCCTAGTTCAAGACCACGTTTCTTCTTTGCCTGTTCCTCCGCCAAGGTCGCTGTCGCCAGCAAAACGAAGCAAACCTTTAAAAAAGAACGAACATACATTTTGGATCTTATTCATACTTAGTAGTAGTAGTTGTAGTTAAATTTCGTCTTGGTCTATGTTCAAAGTGGTGGAGAAACAAAAATATGAGATAATTTGGAAGGTTTTCAACATTGTTTAAAGACTTTTATAGGTAGGTAAAGGTAATGTTACAATTTTACAAAACAGCAAAAAGGAACTGAAAACAATAAAAAAAGTTTAGGGTTCAATTCCTGAGTTGATTTAGATATTATTTCACATAAAGAAATGGGACTACATTACGCATAATATACAGGTTGTTTCAGAAATGAGTGTAAAAAAGAGAATATTAAAAAATAAGATGATTATTTCCTACAGACCATGAACCCATAGTCGTTTATTTTTTAAACAAAGAGCGTCAAAAATTATTTTTTACACTAAATTAAATTTTAGCTGTATCTTTCCCAAAAAGCAATATATTTAATTAAAATTAGGTACAAGTAAGTATATAAAGATACTAATATGTGTTCTTTAGCATCTGCAACTACCTCTCCTAATAACATTTTAATACATTACTTTATTGAAATTATGTTTTTAACCACAACATAAAATTTCATTGTATACAAAAAATGTACTTTTGTTAAAATAATCCACTGTTTTTGAGTTTCAATTTTTTTAATGTACAGAGTGTCAAGAAAAAAGCCAGCGATAATTCGGGTGTAATTTTCTTGGATGACAATAAACTAATTTAGATCAATTTACCTTGGTAAAATCTAGTATCCACAGTATTTTGATTTTCAATATTTTTTGCTCTTATTTATATGGACAATTTTTATAACAAGCAGAAAACAGAAGAGAAAATGACCTTTAAATATGAGTAATCTAAAAAATTTCCTAAAATCACCTTATGAAAAAAAGTTTATATTAACATGTCTCCAAAAACCAGTGACATGCGCGTAGGCAATTGTTTTAAAAGGCAATATGTATGCCTCTACATAATTCTGTGGTAAAAAGGCAAACAGAAAACGTGCCTGTTTTTAGACTGTTTTAATGTTACTAATTGCACCAAAAAAATTAAGGCCAATATAAAGAAAAATGTAGTAATTTAGTGTTGCTAAAATAGCTAATTATGGCATATTTATATATTTTTTTACTTATGTTTGAATTGTTTTTATATAATTAAATCTGATAAAAGCCAATCTAAGATAAGTAAACATATACCTTTTTACCAAATCAATAATTTTTTGGTAATCATAGGTTACAATATTGACATAACGATATAAGTAGACATGAATATAGAACATTGTTCATTATAGGTATGTAGATTATTTCTGAGGCTTATAATAAAAATATATTAAAAGCACATATCAATTTAAAAATTATTTATAATTTGTTTTGCTATATTAGTGTGAATTGAGTACTAAATTAATGTCGTAAATGTAGTTCTTCATACTTTGGACGAGCTCCCTCTATTCGCTTATACATACTGAAATCTATAGGTCAAAGCACTATGAATTAATAAAATTGCAATTTATGAAAATTAATAAAAATAAAATGTTTAATACAACTTCATGATTAATGATATCGAAAATTGAATGACTCAAATGAAAAATCTAATAAAATTAAATTTGTGATCTCACCTCTGTCAGAAGTTCTAATTATATCACTTGTTATGCCCATTAAAACGGTTACATAACTGTATGTCAGGTATACGCTTTATTTTATTTATGTACATTATTGTTAGATAATTATTAACGACTATCTAGAATATGAAAGGCTTCATTTGTTGAATATTTAGGAATGTTCTTGTAATTAATTAATTTGAATTAATTTAATACTTCTAAAGTAAAAAAAAACAGATAAAGCTATTAATTTATGATAATTCTATAAAAGAAAAACGAGTACCAAAATTAGATATAATTAATAACAATTTAAAACATATATACCGATTATAATATAATGCAGATATTTTGAAAAATTATTTATTTATTCATCCATGTACATTTTAAATTAAAGTAGGTACTTAGGTTACCTATATAGGTATTAATATAAAATGAGAATGTACAAAATTTCAATTAAACCTTATTAGAGGTGTAAAAATTGATTGGATTTTGATTGTAATCTATAAAATGAAAAATTTATGAATCTATATTACCAAAAAATTTTGTAGAAAATGTAAGTACATATTATAGACATTGTTTCCTAAGAGTTTCAATAATTATGTGCAAATACCGCATTCCACTTTCAAGTATTACTTAATTTCTCAATTAAATAATAAACAATGCAAAAATTGTACATTACTGTAACATACTAATTAATAATTATTTTTAATTATTCCTTAATTGTTCTACTTACCAAAAATTTCATATTGCTGAGATAAGAAAACGACAGAAGATGCAACTGTTAACAAATTGCACCAGTTACTGCCTTATATACCTAGCCATCCTCCCCTATTTTTTTATAACTTTCTTAAGACCGTAATGCGCTAATCACGGGCCCATTAAATTATTCCAATGAAATAAGTAATAAGTGGTATCAGACCGAAAAGAATTACAACATATGAAACAAATGTTAATCTATGAAATTTAGTTCATTAGTACCCTCGGATGACCAGTGTTAGCAGGCCTGTTGTTATTGCATTTAAATATATCTAGGTATATCTTTAAATAATAAACCTTATAAACCAAAAATAAAACAAGATTTTTTATATTTTAAAATATTTAGGATGTGATAAAACACATAATTATGCACATATTTTTCTACTATTTTACTTATTTTTGCGTTTTTGGAAGATGCTCATTTAAAATACAAGTTTTGTTGAACACAGGTAAACAAATCTGTCAGATCACATATTTTATACAGAATGTGCCCCTTAATATTGTTTAGAAACTATGTAATACGTATTTTATGTAGCTACTATCCATAGGCGCAGGGTAGTAAAGGGTTCAAATAAATGTTTTTGTTTATTATCGTATTTGTCTGTACTGTGCAAATATTTTTTTTCTATCTCGAGAAATAAATTTAGCGAATAATTTAAATAATTGCCTATAACTTTTTCCGTACAAGTTTTTGACACATTTTTTATGAATTTTCTGTATCTATCAACTGAATATCTTTAACCACAGCGATTTGTGTGAACATCTGTAAATAATTGTAAACGGAATCAAACGGGTTGTCAATAGTCAGCGGTTTCAAAAATGTTTCTTCAGATTACTGTGGTATCGCAGTAAAAAATTATATTTACAGACATTTTCACTTAACATTCATTAGAAAGTATAAGACGTTTTTAAATATGTAAAAGCCATATGTGGAGGGGAGTACAGAGTTCACCTATGAACAAAAATTATATTCTTATTTGCATACTTGTAGATATCGTTTGCAGCAAAGAATTTCTTCTATCCTTAGAACAAACAAATTGGACATACAGTATAGATAATTTTCTCTTTGATCATTTTTCCTCCCTATTCGCTTACTGCGCACAGTCAGCTGTTTGCTAAATAGGCATTGGCAATTTTGTATATAATCCAATAAAGTTGTGCTCGGCTGATAGGGGCCGCAAAAAAAATTCCAAACAAGATGATTTTTTCAAGGTTGCTTGGGGACTGAATGAAATCAGCGGTGCCAAAAATGTTTTGTGTTACTGTGGTACTGTTGAGTTTTCGCAGCTCGATTTATTTACTGTTGATATCCTATCCAAGTTTGTAAATACTCTGCATACCATAGCGTAGTGTACAGGGTGTTCCAATTAAAACTTCCCACCTAGAAAATGTAGGAATTAAAAAAAAAGCCTGGGACACCTCGATTTTCTTTTCAAGGGGGACACATAATGGCGTAAGTTTTGGTGTCTATCCCTTAGTCAGGACGTAAAATTAAACCCTTAAACTTTAAATGGCACCCTATGTTGAGTGACACCTCATTTTAAAGATTTTTCAATTCTACTCAAGACGACACGCGACTTTTTAAATTTTGGTTGGATATGACAATAAAACCATCACTTAAAGAATAAGACAAAATATTAATAAATAAAATAATGTAATTTTATTAAGTGTTCAAAAGGGTATCCCTTCGCTTCCAAGCAATGTCTTTGCTCCACTTCCGAAAGAACATTTCGAAGCATTTCGGTCGTTATATTCGTACATTCTTCAACAATTTCTCGATAAAAAAAAATTGTTTTGATTTTTCGTTTTCTGGATTCTACAATAGTTTGGAGGGTAACTCAGTACACTGAGCTACAGCACTGAGGCCCGATTGAACTCCTCATGCGAGAGTTCAACTCTGCTAAGCCGTCTGATATTTCGTTTATCTGTCAATACAAAAACTTCACACTCAATCAGTTCAACTTTTTTACCTGTCTTACTTTAAACGAGACAATATTGTCTCGTCTTGACTTGTCGAGACAATATCCCGTAAAATCATCACAAACTCGATTGAATTCCAATTCGTGAAAATAGTTTATGTAGTTGCTGAAAAAGTGGAAATAATTAGTTTGTTCCACACAAACAATGACTGCACAACAGGCCGCACAGATTTTTGATGATCGTCATCCTGACAGAAACACTTTGCATCGGTATGTCCTGAATTTGGTAAATAAATTTTCGGAAACCGGATCGGTTGTAAACAGAAAACATCAAGGTGAACAGGTCGTACATAATGAGGGTAATCAGGTAGTTGTCCTGATGGGCCACATCACAATGGGACCAAATTTGAGTCTCTGGAAACTTGCAAGTACTTCAAGAAATTCTGTACCGAATCTTAAAACTTCAATACTCAATCTGTTTTTCCGATTAATGTGTTTCAACTGGATTGTCGAGTCAACCGCCATAATTGCAGCTACTGGAGTGATGAAAATCCACCCATTTTTCATGAAATTCGTACGCAGCATCCGAGAAAATTGAATGTTTAGACGGGTATACCGGAAAACCACCTCATAGGGACTCTCTTCCCACCAGGAAATCTAGATGGAATCACGTATCTGAATCTACTGGAAACTAATATCTACCCGATGATTGCGGAAATATTGGAAAATGACAACGCTTTGCCAGAGGAGGACGTGTGGTTTCAACAGGATGGTGCTCCTCCACATTATGCCTTAGCTGTGCGTGATTCTCTTAATCATAACTTTCCTAATCACTGGATAGGACACAGAGGTTCAATTGAGTGGCCTCTCAGATCGCCAGATTTAAATTTAAGCATTTAATAAAATAACATTCTTTCATTCATTGATAATTTGTTTTATTCTTTAAGTGATGATTTTATTGTCATATCCAAACCAAAATTTAAAAAGTCGTATGTCGTCGTGAACAGAATTGAAAAAGCTTTAAAATGAGGTGTCACCGGTGTCCTCAACATAGGGTGCCTTTTAAAGTTTAAGAGTATTTTACGCTCATGCCTAAGGGGTAGTTTCCAAGAGATCATAACTTACGCCATCACGTGTCCCCCTTGAAATGAAAATCGAGGTGTTTTTTTAATTTTTGATTCCGATATTTTCCAAGTGGGAAATTTTAATTTGAACACCCTGTATATCCAACGAATGCTCCTTTAGAATTACAGTTTACTAGATATTGGAAGTGTAATTCAATACTCGACGGGGCAAAGTAGTTGTTTTCTACAAAATTTAATACATCAGTTTCAAGTACATCTCTTAAGTGTCTAACACTTTTTTATTTTTTGTCTCCGCTTCTTGGAAAAGGAAGTACGCCTCTGACTCAAAGATACAGGTAAAACCGATTTTTCTAGTCGACGCCAAATTATGCGTGAGGAGGAAAGGGTCATTAACCGCTCGTTAAAATTTTTGGTATAAAAGCAAATGGGCAAATAACATCTTGATAACTTCTTGGCAGTCAACATGAAGTTCTTGTGCCTTTGCGTGGTTATAGTGCTCCTATCTGGTTATGCAAATACGCAAAAATTCACAGACAAATATGACAACGTAAATTTGGATCAGATTTTAAGAAACGATAGGCTGTTGATAAATTACGTCAATTGTCTTCTGGATAAAGGACGATGCACTGCAGATGGTTTAGAACTTAAAAGTGAGTATTATTTTTATTGTTTTTAAACCAGTTTTTTAAGATGCATAATTTGCTTTTACAACTTTATTAGAAGCTGCATATCTGAAACACTAAATACTAGAATCAGTTCTGATAAAGCTAACTTTCTCGCTTCTTCAAAAGAACAAACACTTTTTAATGTTATAAATTTGGAATGATGAAAATTAGGTATATAGTTATACTTTTTCTTCAAATCATTTTTTCCTTGAAAGATCAAGGAAAATTTTAGAGCAATCTGAGTACCTTCTTCAGATGTTCAATTGAAATGGATAATTACGATAAAAATGAACATGAGCAAATGCAGTTAATAACTGTCTAATAATAAACAAAGGCTGCCTTTGTTAAATAGATCAATGCAAATGTGTGTTATATAAGTGACAACTAATTACATGAAAAACTATAAACAATTATAACCTTCAGTAAAAATGTTCTGCTGTAAAGTTTATTCGATCGTAAGAGACGTTGTTCATTGTTTCCAACATAATTTATGTAAATTCAAACAAGTTCAAATATTAACAAATCCATCATATCCAAGATAATTTTTTTTCTATAATTGAGTTCTATTTCATTTTACAGAGTTAATAAAAATAAAATGTACTTCGTCAAATTTCATGTGGATTTTTTTTATATAACTGCATACAGTAATTTCTTCAATGTAAAAGCGTCAAACAACTTCATATTTCATTGTGATAAATTATTTGACAATTAACTATGAATAAATTAATAACGCCTCCTTCTGTTGCATTGAAAGGTGAGCCGTAGCATATACATATCTGCATCATTAAAAGGGTTGTATTGTAGGTTCCTTTAGACACACACTTCTATTAGTGAAAGTGAAACATATTTTGTTTCATCAGGTATTAGAATGCGACTGTATTATCTTTGTTATCTGTAGTTTCGTCTACAGTTATCCACATTTTTTTCAATTATAATGACTTTATTCACACCACATTCTAACTAACAAACAATAAATAATAAAAAAACAAATTATGAATTATAGAAAAAAATTGTACAATGGTAAATCGTATAACTAGTACAATTAAATTGAAAGACGCAAACTAATAAAACTGTAATTATTGGAAAACTAATATGTGTCATCTATCACTGTTTTATTTTAAACAAATGACATGAGCCACCTATGACTGCATTTTTTAATAACATTTGATAAAATTCGGTTCGTCTCTGCCCTTTATAAGATTTACCATTGTACAATTTTTTTCTGCAGTTTTTTTTTATAATTTATTGTTTGTTAGTATGTGATGTGAATAAAGCCATAACAATATTTTAAAAGAATATTTTGTCTGAGTGAGATTTAAATAAAATAATAGATTTTCCTGTTACATCATACATTGCATATTGAAGTCGACATATCTCTCGAAATCAAGTAAATATAAGGAAAATCTTTATATTAAAAAAAAATACTCAAAACTTAAAGAACATTCAGATGGACAGCATTTCCACGTTCCAGGGATCAAAAAATTTGTTAGTATCGCCACGCCATCTATACCGAAAGATTTTAATTCTATTCAATTCTAACTACAATTTGAAGCTATTCGAGGGACCTAACAACCCCAATTTTCGGAACTAAAATAAATTTTTTCATTTCGGAGATATTGGCAGCGGGAGTGTTAAATGGCACACCCTGTATACTATTATCGGTTTCCTCTTTTACATCGAAATATTACAAACACTGAATACAAATTGAGACATATAATAAAAATACCCAGTGCGGCAGCTGTAAACGTCGATTACTTTTATGTGTTTGATTTCCAATATATTTTTTACACTAGTAGAAACTTCAACCCAAAATATTCCTGAAAACCAGCTGTATCCCCTTTTAAACCCTTTTCCTCTTAAGAAAATATTATCTTTTCGAAATGTACGATAAAACAATGACAATAAGATTTATAATGTACTTAATAAAGGTACATTATGTATCTTACTAGGTTCTAATATATTTCAATAAATGTATTTCATGTATTTCAATAAATGTATTTCAATAAAATTTTAATTTCTTAAGAAATTTAGTTTATGGGTGGTGCAAAACTTCATTCGTTTCTTGTATGGTAGACTTCGGTATCCACAAAAAATTGATATATTTGACATGAGAAAACTCGCTAAAAAATAGCTACAAATATAATGAACCATAATGAACTCTATTTTGTTTTTTAATTATTGTATTTATCTTTATTATCTCATTAATTAAAATTTAATATTAAAAGGCAATGATAAAATTTGTACCTCCTTAATATAAGAAAAGATGTCACATATTCGGATATGATGGGTAAAATTGTCTAAATCAACGCAAGTGCATATTTAAAATACTGATAATGATTAAAATAAATTATTTTGAAATTATTAACGACAGCACAGGAACAGAATTGGCATGTAATTTTGTGTGGGGCACTGTTGTCCATCATATTGGCCATTGCTATACATTCATGTAATGTCATATAAGCAAAATAAACTAAATAAATAAATAAATAAATAAATAAATAAATAAATAAATAAATAAATGACAAGCACTAGCAAATAAGTTTGAAAGTTAGGCAATAGATATTTGAAAAAGCTGAATATCTTAGAGTATTTAACGAAAATACAACGTTTTATTAAGAAACCTTATAATGTTACCCTTACCCCCTTATAATATTCCTTATACCTTATAATGTTCCTTACCTTATACCTTATAATGTTCACTTTTACAATCTGTCGTCCCATGTGAACTATTTTTTAGATAAACATAATTAAATATAAATATTTAACTATATTTTAAATCCAATACAAAAAATTACAAAAATGAATGTTTCATATAATTTAAAATATTTTTGGTATTGTAAATTTAGAGCTAATTTCATACATACATTTCAACAGAAAACATCTTTTAGCCTTCTTCCTATAAAATCTTTAAAATACTTATAAAATAAAACCTAACATGTCGTCTCCTATGTGTGTAATACATTTTAAATATGCTGCAGAAACAATAACTAAAAATATCAGTCAAACAGTTTTAAAAATTATTATTTAAGACAAATTAAGCTTTTCATGATACCATGAAAACCTCTTCTGATCTAAGACAAAATAGTCTTGTGTAAATGTTTTATGCTTGTAAGAAATAACAAAATCGGTTCTTTATAAAAAAATACATTTTATAGAAGCCTAATACTTAAGTATTTATCTTTGACAGCCTCCTAAGGATCGTTATTCTTTGGGTTCTTTTTTAATTTAATAGCCTCCTATGATTACTGTCACAGAAATATAGGTTATGAAAAGTTTTATAAACATTTTTATAGAACTAGATTGTCAGAGAATTCGAATTATTCTTGAACGTTGAACCTGAAAAAGAAGCTTTTCGATATGAATGATTTGCTCAAGGTCACAAATCTATAACTCCTTAGAATCTGTATAAAAAAACTGTATGTTGTTTCCGAAAATTCCAGGGCCATCATTATTTTTGACCTAATTGCAAGATCATTGGTTACATTCTGTGTTAAATGTGAACTACCCTTATATTTCTTCAACATGTACTTCATCTGTTTCAGAGGCTGTTCCTAATGCTTTGCAAAATGGATGTAACATGTGCAGTGAAAAGCAGAGAAACGGCGCAACAAAAGTTATTCGCTACTTGATTGACAACAAGAGATCCTGGTGGAACGAATTGGAACAAAAGTACGATCCGCAAGGGAACTATAGAAGACAATATGAAGAAGAAGGAAAACGATACGGCGTCCACCTATAATAAATAAGCGATGTATCAAAAATAGTTTTGTACTTTCACATTTTGTTTACAGCAGGTTTTATTACATGTTTGACATTGGGCTTTCTGTCCACTGCTACAAATAATAATAAGAAAATAAGAAAATTAAAGACTGTACAATAACTTTTACTTCATTTGTTTTCCAAAATTATTGCCGAATTTATTTATCAAATTTAAACACATTAATTAAGACTTACTTATACATAATGTAAACTTAAGTGAAAATAAAATATATAATAGTAGTTAGGTTAACAGCCTTATTTAAATTTCGAAACAGGTATATTTTGTACTGGATTTACTGGAATAACAGTTTCTCGGTTAGCAAAACTGTTATTAGCACAAATTGATCGAATTTATTGTCACATTGCTAGAAAATGTTAAACGTAAGCATACTTTAGATAAATGACAGTAACAGACCCTTATTACTATCATTTTATTTATATCACCCACTAAGAACTTAAATCAAAAAATACTTGTAATTTTTTGTTATTAGCCTTTTTATTGAAATATTAATAACGCATTTTGAAATCAAATCTGTCAAATATATTTTGAAAACATTTTCTAGATTCTGGACAGTCAGATGAGTATTACACCAGGGGGGATCTGTTGAAATATCCCCCTTCTTGGATGTAAGAGGGGGTAACCTAATTTTTACTGGAATACCTTCAGTACAACTTACATAATAAAAGTGTAGACCCCTAGATCTGGCCGAGGTCTGAAACATTTTCAAAATTGCAAAAATGTTTAAAAAATTTTAAAAAATACCTATTTTATCTGAATTTTTGCTTATATCTTGGCACCTATGCATTTTGGAAGAATATTGAAGAGGAAAAAAAGTTGAACTTTGCACAATATGTAAGTTAAAAATGTATAAATTTATTACCGATCTTGCAAAATAGCAATAATTGATGAAAAAAAGGCAAAATAATTAAGTTTTTTGGATAATTTTTTTTAAATATTTTAATTGCTCCGAAAGCATTCTAATTTTGGTAAAAAAAACTATAGAGTATAATATAAATAATTTTTTGAAAAAAATTTTGAAAAAAGTTTCCTAATTATCAAAATGTTGCACAGTCTCAAATAAAGCATCTAGATACTTGAAAATTTTTTCACATAGAAGAGACGGTTCAACCTTTCAAATAGTTTTTGAAAAATAGAAATCGGTTGATTAGGACGGCCACAGTAATTTTTTAAAGTTCTCTCTTTTTTTATTTTTAAACAATTAGATTACATTTATCAATTTGCATTTTAATTTATTCAAAAATTATAATTTTAAAGAACTCGGAAAGACGCTTCTTTTAAATAAAAAAAAAGATAAATTCCGTTTATTGGTTCTCGAGATATAAGCGGTCAAAATTTATCGGCATTTACCGTTAATTTATAAACAATTTAGCAATAATCTTTAATCCAGTGGCTTCGTTTTTCCGAGTTTTAAGCTGGAAAAAATTTGTCATATCCATAAGTTATCGGCAACATAAATAAATGACTCAAAACACGAAAAGTGGGGGAGGGGGCTTTCGCTCCGAGACTAGATTCGGGGGTTCAAAATGCGAAGGTACAAAAAAAAATTGCATTATCTCCGCTTCTAATGGACTAATTCCGATCTTTTTTTTTTAATCCGATGTGTCGCGAGCCAAGGAATTCGAATATCGTAATGCCAACTGTCTTATTTGCTTTTATTATTATTTATGCATTAAATATACTGTATATTTTACCCTATGCTATTGCATTTTTTCAATACAAAAATTTGTTTACATATATATTTCCACACTCTGAATATGAATGTATTTAGTTATAATTATTACAGTTATTTAAATAATTTTTGTTTAAACAAATTAAAAAAAATATTAGGGAATGAATTTTTTTGTTAAATACAGATAAAATTAAGAAAAAATAATAATTTTTGAAAAAAACTGCATTGCAAATTGATAAATGTAATTCAGTTGTTTAAAAATAAATAAGAGTGTTAACTTTAAAAATTTACTGTGACCTTCCTAATCAACCGATTTCAATTTTTCAAAAACCATTTGATAGGTTGAGCGGTCTTTTCTATGTGAAAAAAGTTTCAAGTATCTAGATGGCTGTGCGACATTTTGAAAATTCGAAATTTTTTTTTTAAAGTTTATTCAAAAAATTATTTTGCGAAAATTATCGAACCGATTTTAATGAAATTTGCTATGTTGTTTTATTATGCTCTAAAGTTTTTTTTTACTAAAATTAGAATGCCCTCGGAGCAATTAAAATATTTTTAAAAAATTAACCAAAAAAACTTGATTATTTTGCCTTTTTTTCATCAATTATTGCTATTTTGCAACATAGGTAATAAATTTAAACATTTTTAATTTGCAGTATATTGTACAAAATTCGATTCTAAAACTTTTTTTCCTCTTCAATATTCTTCCAAAACGTACAGGTTCCAAGATATAAGTAAAAAAATATGTATTTTTTTAAATTTTTTAAACATTTTTGCAATTTTGAAAATGTTCCGGACCTCGCCCAGATCTAGGGATTTACACTTTTATTATGTGATTTGTACTGAAGGTAATCAAACAAATATTTGCTTGTCCCCCTCACACATCCACCTTAAAACAGAATTTTAGAATTTTTTTCTTTATTATAATGCTTAAAAATTGTATCATCCAACATATTGCTAAATCCGATATCTCTTCAACATATATATATTATATATATATTTTTTATTATTAGATATCAATCAACTTTTACAGCACTGTTCAATATAAAAACTGTTTTTGATTCCAACAACTTCAAGACAAGTATTTCTTATTACAATTGTATATGGCTTAAGCAGTCTGTAAATTTATGCTACAAGTTAATGAAAGTAACGACAATAATTGAGTTATAATCTTAGTTTATTTAGTCAAGGTAATAATATACAGGAAGAAACTTTAAATCAAAGTTCATAGTACGTGATTCTATTAAATATCATACATTTAATAAAAAGCATTATTAGTTTATTAGTACAAAACCCTAAAATATATGTTGCAGGATTAAGAGAAATATTAGAAACTTAACTTCATCTCTACTGGTTCAGGAAGAGACATAATTATAAATTTAAAATTGTACGTTCAAAATTGTAACGAAATTGAAACTAGCACTGAGTTTAAAACAAATTTTAAGATTGTACACCCTGAATAACGCATATCTTTAGTGACCACCAAGATCACCAAATTCCAGCCCCACTTGCTTTTTTTCGTAATGTTATCTTAAAAATGTATATAGGTATAGTCTTTCCTATCACAACTGAAGACCAAAGAGCTAGGCAGTACGTATCAGGTTCGGTCACAACGCAGCAACTCGGCATTGAAATATCTGAAAAACTTGTTCCCATATTTATTTAGCCATACCCATATACAGGTCTGGTCGAACTAAACGTGGAGGTAGTCGAAATGTATGCGACCAGTTGTAGAATGCGCGCGGGCAAATGCTGCACAAACACAGCCGCACTGGGCGACTGGGCCATAATTTTCAGTTGTTGCCAAATTGCCTAGCAGTGCAGTGCAGCAATGCGGAATTATTTTATTGTTATTTTTATTTAATAACTTTTCTAACCTACACTAACAACCTTTCCTCATCCTTTCCTGGCAAGGATATGTTCATACCTTCCCGTTGGTTCTTGGCGAACAGTAATATATTTTACTGAGGATGTAAATGTATGTTGATATGTCATAACCAAAATTTACCATGAATATAATAAGATTATTTGAGGACATAAATAAATTAAAGTATGTTGTTGGCCAAAAGAACATATAATAGAAATTTTCTTACAGTATATACCAATTAATATTATTTTTTACCTTTAGCAGAAAACTTTTTTAGGGACACCTATGAAACTCACTAAATTTTATTGCTAGGCGTTTTTATACATATTCAACAGTTTTCTGGTTTTTAGATCTTATAGATTTTGATGCTGAAATCGAATTTAAAGTAAAGAATTTTCAACTTTTAGATTTTTTGTATTCTTAAAAAACACTAGCTTGAGATTTTTCAATAAAATTAAGTTGTTGCCCTTTTTGCCCTTGGAAGGTCAGAGTGCCCTTTTTTGACATTGGTTATATGTTGGGGGGCCATAAAATACATAGAAAATCACACTTTACACTTCTTTTTTTCAATATAATGTGTTTTTGCCATTTCGCCCTTTTTATCATAAAAAAGGGCCATCAGCCAAGTTTGGACATCAGATTCGTGTCAAGCACCCAAAAATACATAGCAAATCAGTCATCTAGGTTAAACTCGGACTAGAGTCGAGTATTCCTCACATTTACCAAAGGTAGTATTGAAATAACTGCATATTTATTACAAAAGAGAAGTGTCCCTGTTCAAATTTGGTTTGAGCACATCAAAATCTTTAAGAAAGGATAAGTCTGATCTAAAAACTAAAAAATCCTTTGATTGTCGGCTAGTAATTAATTAACAAGGTATTAATTAACATATACCTTCTCATCACCGAGAATAATATTCAATAACCCACCCTGTAGCTCAATCAGAAGCAATTGTTTCCTACATTTTATGCAGATTATGCGTAATTATCTGTAGCGATTGGATTTTATCATAAAATCCATTAAAAAACGCTAATACACGTGATAATTGCAACCCCACCCCAACATATTTTTCATTCCCATATAAATATGTGCCCTTTGATTATTCCAAGACCTATAAGTTGCATGCTCTTGCAATCATGAAGGTCTCCTTGTTGTTTGTCGTCGTTGTAACTTTGGTGGTCTGTGCACGTGCCGACGATAAATACACCACCAAGTATGACAATGTTGATTTGGATGAGATCATCAAAAGTGACCGCTTGTTGAAAAATTACGTAAACTGCCTTTTGGATAAAGGAAACTGCACACCTGACGGAGCAGAACTGAAAAGTAAGCAAAGATTCATTGATCACAATACCTATATCGAAACTAATATTGTTGCAAGAATTTTCCAAATTCTTTTTCACAAATGATTTTGAGGTGATGTCATAAATGGTATACACTACAGAAATGTGCAAGGTGTTTTCGAAGTTTATATCATCATGACTTCGGAATATTGTCCCTAAGATCTTTAAGAAATTTTTAATGATCCCTCTGCTTTTGGGTGTACACATTGTAACTGATATGACTATTGTCCACTATTAAAAATGTGGATAATTACTTTCTGGATTCAAAAATTATACAATAGTTGTGAGATATAGGTTTTAAATAAAAAATAATGAATTGCATTTCCCATTGTTTCACTGATTAGAAACAACATTATGAACTTTATCTATTTATCTTCACGGCATAATTCTTCCGCTCGCTTTCGATTGTCAGCATCAGTTACTTAATACACAAAGTGTTTTAGTTTGTACTACTGATCTAATGAGAACATTAACTTAACTTACTCTGTAAATATCAAAATGATGGTTATAAGAACAATTATACCTAATAACGGATTTGTCTTTGATTGAACTGATAAGGTTTTCCATTTTTTAGAGGTTCTTCCTGATGCTCTCCTCACTGACTGTTCAAAATGCAGCGAGACCCAAAAGAAAGGCAGCAAGAAAATCATCCGTCACTTGATAGACAACAAACCTGACTGGTACAAAGAGCTTGAGGCAAAATACGACAAAGAAGGAGTATACAAGAAGAAATACGAGGAAGAGTTAGAACTTAAGAAAGAAACGAAGGAAGAAGAGAAAGAGAAGAAGGAAGAGGAGAAAGAGAAGAAAGTCGAGAAAGAGGTTAAGATTGAAAAGAAAGAATAAGTTATAAGTACATGTAAATTGTTTGTATCTTTTTGTTCTTTATGAGAAAAGATTGTAGATTTGATTTTGTTATCCATAAATCAGATGTGACTAGATTTAAAAATTTAAGCGTAACGTTATACCAACAAAATAGGTAATAAAATTGTATTAATTAGTATCAGGATTTTTTAATTAAAAATATACATACGTTTGAATAAAAAAAATGAATCACTACTGCTATTATTTTAATAATAAAAATTCATTCTTGCAATCGGACTTCATTCCAAAGTTTGCATTGAAAGTTTTACTGAAAATTATCGGGCTTTTAATAAGCTCGAAGTTATCATATTATTTTCAGTATTGTCAAATACTTTCAGTTATGTATTTAATTCTTGCATAATCTATAATTTTATTAAATACCACTTTAAAGGTTAAAAAAATATTTGTGTACTTCAACTCATCTTTCTTCTATTGTGTATTGTTGGTTGCATATACAATAAATATATATAAAACATTTTTATTTTACGAACAAAAATTAGGCATACCAAAATTAAAAATTATATCTAAATGCAATATTACTTTTAAATAAAGAAAAGTACTTTATCAATAACTACAATTTTGATAAAAAGAGACTTGTTTCAAATGGCGTACTGGAAGCTTAATCTGTTTTAGGTACTTCAAATGTTTAATGTACTCACAATAAACACAAAAACATCTCTCTTATAAATTTCATCATATAATCTCCTCAAATTTAAAACTTTTTTGATAGGAAGTAAAAATTATATAGATTTTTTTCTTTTCAAGGTAGATCCTTCATTGTGAATCGAGTCTTAATACCTAAATAATTACTTTGACCTATTAAAGCGTAAAAAGCAGTTAAAATATTTCTTTTTATTATTCCTATTATTTCAGATTACAACTAAACACAGGAAGAAAGGTAGAGCATTTTCTTTTTTATAGGTAATGTTCTGGTAGTGAAACAATTGTAGATCCAACCTTTGTCCATTTTTTGTGTCAGCTCCACCAAGACTCGCATAAAAAATAATTAAAGCAGATATAATTACTTTTGTATCTATCAGATAAATTGAAATATTTAAAACAAAAAATATAATCAATTAGAGATTACAAGAAGTACCTACCTATTATAAATGGTACCTATTGTTTTCACGCTAAATTTCATATTACTACAGTGAAAAATAAGACAATAATAATGCAACCATAATTAGAAGAAATAGACAAAGAGCAGGTAACAGTAATGGAAAGAGATTTTCGAATCTCTGAAAGATTCCTTGCTTAAAAAAATTTATTTGAAAGATATGTCAACAAATGACCATCTCAAAGACACTTTATGAATAACTATCAGATGTGTTAATATGTAGTTCATGAACATAAAATTGGAATTAATGTTCGTGGTAACAAGAAATTATAGCGACGCGATAACAAAACAACGACATTAACCTTGATAAAGATATCTTATTGTACGAATGCAACTGAGGCTGTTGCAGCCATTATAAAATTCACTTGATTTACAAGACCCTTGAAATGTCAGGTATTTCTAAGTTAATTTGTGGTGGCATTCTAATATTACAACCTTCGTGTAACCAAACATTATTCTGCATGCATATTTGTCTGAAACACCTTGGCTGTTGCAAGTATAATACTTGCACTTTATAGTTAAATTAATTCATTAAAATTGTAAATATTTCTCTATCTGTCGAGACAGCGATGTTAGCAGTTTGATAATGTTCTTTTATTTGTAGTATTTATTTTCTATGCTTATACGTATACATTGACTACGAGAGTCTACTGTTATCGTTAATGTACATACCTACTCAGCTTGGTTTTTAAATTATCAGAAGCCATTTTGTGTTTCAACCCCTTCCTACAATAAGGACACTTCTACTAATTCTAAACGTCGATTTTATTAGGGACATTTTTCTTTTTTGGGAAAAGTCAAAGTACAATAATTTTTCTAATATTGATACATTTTGTTAAGGGTAGCGAAATTAAGGCTGCTTACTCATTAAAAAAGAAAATTTACGTTCATTATATTTCAACAAAGTTGCATTCATTATAATTACATAATTATTTTATTGCGTAAGGTCATTGCAAGTTTTCTAGAATATTTCATATCAATGCTATAACTGGATAGATCACTGAAAGCGAATAACATAAAGTTTCAGCAACATTACATATAGTATCCAGAGAAACGGAATTGTTCAGATTGCTATAACTTTTCTCAAAAAAAATCCAGAATTTCTATCTAATGTTGATATACATAACTCTGTGTATAAAAAAAGTAAATTACTTATTTAAATTCGTGGATATTATGAAAGCATACAATTATTTTTTTGTAGGTTGGTAGTACTGTTGATATATATTCAGAGTTTCAAGTCAATATATTCAATTGCTACTCGTGATTTTGTTGAGCAAAGAATTTCTGAAATTTTGTTTTGCTGAATCAATATTATCAATATTCTGCCGTGGAAACGTTAAGGATGTTACAAAAGGCCTTTAGTGATGAGGTTATGTCGCAAAAAAATGTTTACAAGTGGTACAAAGGTTTTAAAGGAGGCAGAGAAAGCGTTAAAGGCAAACAGCGTTCTGGACGACCATCAACATCAACTGATGAACAAATACGTTGCTCAAATCAAAGATCTTGTGCTCGAAAACCGTCGAGTAACAATAAGAGACCTTATTGATATTGTTGGCATTTCTACGGTTGGGTAAATACCATTTTAAAAGATTTGTTCGCGTCAAATATCGTTTGGTTTCAAAAACGTTCAACTTTTTGGAAAAATAGCGTTGCGTTGACATCTGTGAAACAATGATTTTTGACTATCAAGACATCATGGAACGCGTCATTACTTGAGAGGAGACTTGGATCTACGTTTACTACCCGGAGACAGCCAATCAATCGAGTGAATACCGTGCAAAAGGTGAACCAAGACCGAAAAATACCACACCAAAGACACTAAAAAATCACGGACATCTTGAGAGTTTTCTTTGACTATCGTGGTATAGTGCACTATGAATTTCTTCCAAGCGGCCAAACTGTTAACAAGGGATATTATTTGAGTGTTATGCTTCGTTTGCGTGATGCTATTCGCCGCAAAAGGCCGGAATTATGCACATACAACTCTTGGTTTTTGCATCATGATATTGATTCGAGACCATTTCACCAAAAATTCAACTCATATCGTTCCGCAACCACCGTATTCGCCTGATTTAGCATCTAGTGACTTCTGGCTATTCCCTAAACTCAAAAGACCACTAAGTGGACACCGTTTCGACTCGATCGAGGAAATAAAAGCCGAATCGACGAAAGCATTGAAGGCCATTTTGAAAAAGAGCTTTTCAGACTGTTTCGAGAGTTGGAAAAAACGTTGGCATAAGTGCATAAGTGTATCGGGTGGGGATTACTTTGAAGACGAAGAAATTGATTTGGAAGCACAAGTAAAGATTTTTAATCTTTTAAATAAATTCACTTTATTTTTTGGACAACGGGTTATATTTTTTTATTGTAACCACAATATAACATTGTATTTCTAAAATAGGTAATACAATATTTTAAATTTGCGCCGTAAAACGGTATATTTTCTATCACGTCTGTGATTGGTTGTAATTTTCTATTTAGTGCTATTACTGCTGTTTGGTTATTGCTAGTGATGTTTTTATACATGGATGTAGATAGTCATTCTTTATGATGGGTAATGCAGAAAGAATAATAGTTAGTATGTATATCTGACAAGAATAATAAGTAAATAATTTCTTTTATGAGTCATCAGATCATAATCGGATTTAAAACCTATTATAATAATTTAAGTGCATAAAACCCCATAAAAATTTAAGGGTGGGAGAAAAATGTCAAAAAGCATTTATTTTATTGGTGGGACAGATTTGAGCATATAGAACTTATAGATATATCTTGAACATCATCAACTTTATTTTCAACTAATTATCTTTCCTGTTTTTAGAGCCAGTCATCAACTGGGAATCCTTGCTATGTTTTCACCATGACAAAACAATTCTTCTTCGTGAAAAATATTTAAAAGATTTCTTTTAACATGTTGCCGGAAAGACTTACCTACTACTTTTGAATGTTTAATCTGCTGTGCATCATTTTCATATAAAAAAATTGATTGCTTTAAAACCAAAGAAATAGTCAACTAACTTTGAAATATTTCTGTTTGCCTATTTAATGTTTAACGATTTTGTCATAAATAATTTTTAAAATACCTATTATGATGCATAGACTGTATGATATAAAGCCTAACAAAGGAATAGTCCAATTAACTAAGCCTTTAAATCGAAATTTTGCCAACTTGGCTGAATTTTTGATATGAGTTAGTTTAAGGTATATTATAACAATAAGTGAGAGTAATTTTTTGTTCAACCCCCGGCCAAGGGTGGAAAAAGATAAAACAAAGGGCTTTTTCAAGATAACTCAAAAAGGGTAAGAGCTAGAAAAAAAAGTTTTTCATGAAAGTTGTAAAGCAGACAATTCTACATAAAAATGGCCGCTTAACTTTTTCTTGTACTATTACAATTAACAGAGTTAGGGAGGCTAGAAGTTAAGGGAAGATTTCAGAAATTTAAAAAAAATTATAACAAACAGAAAAATGATTAAATTTTGTAATTTTTTTTTCAATCTGCTCTAAAATATGTAACTTTTCTTTTCAGAGAAATAGATATATTTTTTAATTTTTAATAAGAAAGTTATAACAAAAAATCAAATTTTTAATCGTTCATTTTAATGATTTAACAAAATTAAATTTCTGAAATCTTCCCTTAACTTCTAGCCTCCCTAACTCTGTTAATTTTAATAGTACAAGAAAAAGCTAAGAGACCATTTTTATGTAGAATTGCCTGCTTTACAACTTTCTTGAATTTTTTTCTAGCTCTTACCCTTTTTGAGTTATCTTGAAAAAGCCCTTTGTTTTATCTTTTTCCACCCTTGGCCGGGGGTTGAACAAAAAATTACTCTCACTTATTGTTATAATATACCTTAAACTAACTCATATCAAAAATTCAGCCAAGTTGACAAAATTTCGATTTAAAGACTTAGTTAATTGGACTAGGAAGGAGAAGACTGAAGATCAATTTGCTAAGTTTTACGACAATCAGTCTTCGTAGTACTTACAAAATTTAACCATCCAGGGAAAGCTCGCGATGCTC